TGTGTGTGTGGGTGTGTGTGTGTGTGTGTATAGTTATTGCTTTGTATTTGTGACCCCACTACTCACAAAGCGATGGAGACGTCCTTGACGGCGCCATGGTGACTGGTGGAGACGAGCTCGGCTTTGAAGTCCTGCAGATCAAGGCAGTAGATCTCGGACGCGTCTGTGCCAGCAAAAAAGTGGCGGCCGTCATCTTTGAGAGCAATAGAGGTCACCCCGTTGTTCATCTGCACATGTCTAATATGGAAGGCAAACAAGGGGGAAGAAATCAGTCTGGCACATTCATTCCCAAACAGGGAATGCATCACTTCATTGGTTTGAAAATGATGATTTTGATCAAATTATGAATCTTCGTTCAATTATCTCTCTGTATAGCAGTAACATTAAGTATAGTGACAGACAGAACAATAAAAGCCTTTTCCACTAGAATCTAGAAGGTACAATTCACCTGTGGAACCACCTTTTGCCATCCATACAATTTAAATTATAAATACTGAATCCCCACATACTGTATTTGCAGTTCAGCATTCTGCAGATTTACAGATTTTTTTGGGGGTGTGGAGGGCATATCTTCCTTTATTCACTGAAAAACTCACCTATTCGCTATTTTTGTGTTCCGGCCAATCCCATGTCTAATACAAAAATTGTGTTTTGGTGCCATCTTGTGACATTATAGAGGTGAGGAGACTCGATTCATTGAGCTACTGAGCTACTGAGCTAAAGAGTTTTCTGTCAAATATGTGCCTTTTTCTCAATAAAGTCTGGGACACACTGGTGTGGCATACCACTAGAACAAATAAAACTATTTTGACGAATTATGCTGTGGACTCACTTGAGAGCTTTGAAGGTGGTCGAGGAGCACAGTGTCAAGGTGCCAAATCCAGAACCAACAAGTAGTTCGCCAGTACTTAACGCCTTGAGGACATTGGCCCCCTGTGCCATGAAAGACAACGAAAAACCCTCAAATAAAAAAATGACACCCAAAGAGGAATACTACCAGGCCTACTCACCAAGCTGTGTTTAGTTTTAATGGGACCGTAGTCGCTCAGATACTTTGTCTTGGTGTGAATTTTCAAGATGTCTCCACTGGTAGTACCACAGAAAATATACTCATCGTCCGGTGCAAACTGTAGGAAGAAAATGCTAGAGTGAGTGGTCTTTTAGGTTATTTTTTGCCTAAATGGCGCTCAGCCGCTTTTGTCCTTGGACTCGTCACTTACTTGCCTCCAAAAATGTGGTTTTATACCCACCTCTATGCATCTCACTGTCCTCTTCAGCTTGCTCAGTTTACAGTCTGTAGGTTTAATCTTGTTGAATTCATCCAGCTCCCAGATCTGCAAGGTTGCCCTGCAAAGATCACATAATTTTTTTTTTTTGTTTGTTTGTTTCCCGGGATCCCAGCTAGCTGCCACACAGCCACAATAACCGGGGTAAAATGGTAATTTCCTGCACAGATAAACCAATTATAGTATATTCATTACTTGTTCTTCATGAGGGTTAAAGACGGGCCCTTTAAATTTGAGTATGAGTAGAAAATTATGACTGCTCGAGCGCCACCTAGAAATCTCCATTGATGGGAAAACTGAAGCCATATCTGAACACTTTCTTCGTTGATGAATTTAGAATATTTTGGATTTTATTATACGGATAAATTTCCAACATTTGTAACAAATACATGAAGAAGATTGACATTATTCACCAACCTGCCAGCAGAGACGAAAATATTGTCATTGGTGTTGGAGTACTTGACAGTAAGGCGGTGACATAAACTCAAGGGGAGCGCCGGAGCCGAACAAATGGCCTGCTTGGTTGTAATGCTCCACAAGAGTATTCTGGAAAAAAAAAAAGCATTCAAAACAAAAAATTCTCAATTGTCAGATTGGGGTAAAATATCTTGTGGCAGGCATATTCTCTCGACACAGAAATACCAAATTGAGACAACATTTTTGTTACAGAATGCGGAACATCTAAAGTTGAACACACTTAAGGTCATACAATTAGGAATTGAAAACTTTTTTTTCCCCTGGAAAAAAAAAGCTTAAGTTGCTCAAAATGTTTCCTTTTTGCAGCACTTAATTCAAACTCAAATTAATTGTTGGATATAAGGAGGTTCTCTTGGAAAGATGTTCATGATGATTGCATGCACACTTCAATATGAGGCAGCCCCCACATTTCCTGTTATACCAAACAAGCATGAGATTTGCCTTCCATCGTCTTGACCCCCGAGGGACACCAGATACTTGTCATTGGGAGAAAAGGCCAACGCCTCCACTTTGGATTCGTGGATCACAAACCGTGTGTATATGCATCGCTTCGTGTACTCCCAGACGATTATCTCGGCCTAGGGGAAACAGCATACATATGTAGAAAATTAAAAAGTACTTAAAAAAAAAAACAATAAAAGTAATACAGTGGATATACAGTCTACACAACCCTGCTTGGGTGTCAATTTTTTGTGATACCACTATATAACATGGGTGTGGAGACTTTCGGGAGAAAAGGCCAACGCCTCCACTTTGGATTCGTGGATCACAAACCGTGTGTATATGCATCGCTTCGCGTACTCCCAGACGATTATCTCGGCCTAGGGGAAACAGCATACATATGTAGAAAATGGGAATTAAAAAGTACTTTAAAAAAAAAAAACAATAAAAGTAATACAGTAGATATACAGTCTATACAACCCTGCTTGAGTGTCAATTTTTTGTGATATTACCACTATATAACATGGGTGTGGAGACTTTACACATCCACTGTCTATGATGACATTGAAATGACATGGTGGTATTGGGCGATGGCAACTTTTGTCACTGAAGGCTACCTCAAAGTCATTGTAATTGATTTGTCCAGAGGCAATATACACTCCACTTTTAGACGTGGAGAGGCAAGATATGTCGCTGGTGTGACCATGCAGGAAGTGCCTCATGTTGTCTTTGATCCGTGTCAGGACAACGGTGCATCCCAGAGGATAGATGAGGTGCTCTTTGTCCGGATGAAGCCTCATGCCAAAATGCACTTGACCTGAAAACACAAGGTGAAATGTCCGACTGACTTCCAATTTGATATAATTTCAGATCATTGCCCCCCCCCCCCAACCCCCCATTTGATCATGTGAAGTAAATACATTTATTAATGGTACAGGGTAATGACATATTTACATTAGAATGGGATTAACTATTGTATGAAGCAACTCAAACAACTTATTTCCTTGTATGGTTTGAACAAAACACAACAAAGTCTCACATTTGATAGTTTTCTCTGTTTGAGAATTTACCGTTGAAGCCGGAAACCGCCGCCAGTTCAAGCTGAGGAACTTCCTTTGGTGTCTGATCCATGATGCTGAAAACTGTACAATGCCTGTACAAAATTTGATTACAAAATATATATTTAACATATAATAAACAGTTATGCCATTAAAACGACTTAAAAAAATCTTCACACAAGTGGAAGCAGTCTACTTTACTCAATTGCCGATTTTTTTATACTCGCTCAGTGTAACGTCACTCACACTAAGACTAATAAATAGCGAGGGCGTGAAACAACAGACGTCATTGACGCCGAAATAAAAAGAGCTACTGCTAATCGGTGATGTAACGTCTTTTGAAGACCACTTTTATACTAACGACATTAAAATGCAACACTTTCGCCCTCTCCTGTCGCTAAATGACGTAACAAAAATACTGAAAAACAAACGTATACAATTTCTCCTACACAATGATAAACATCGTTAAATTATGAATCTACCCTTCTTATATAGTCTGTATGCACTTGGTCACGTGACTGTTTGTTTACCATGATATTATGCCTACTTTTAGACCTTGTATCCGCAAATATTGCGGATGAATAGCCCAACAGCTTGAACAACATCTACCGAATATGCACAAACGCAAATACTTACTGTTAGAAGTGCGACGTTGTTGTAAAATTCACCGTTATTAAAAGCCTGTATTGCAAGTGAAGACCGACAACACGGAAAGTGCTTAATTTGACATTCTCTCAAAAGATAACTTTTTTAAGCAGAAAGGGCGCTAACCACAAACAAACGTCGCCTAGCAACAGGCGACGCTATCGTCCCGCCCTCTCCCCTTCAATCCTTCCCATTCGTCCTAACGTTATTTTGATTCACCTTTAGATATTTTCACAATTAGATAATTTTACAAATCGATCGGGCCTCCTGTGTAGACTGCAGAGGGTCCTTGGTTTACTACCCGTTCCTGCATAAGCGACATAACGAATTTCCAAGATGTAACACCCCGTAGTGTCATAGTTTTAAAACAACGCCACCCTGGCACACAAATAATAATAATAATAACACAAATCACAAATTAACACTTAGTTTGAAGGGATAATGAGTGAACTGGAGTGTGACCATAGGAAGACAAAAAGGATTTATTTTAACACAACTCACGAAGAACAACAGCAGGTCATTCATTTTCACGGCAAAGCATGCAAGAAGTAGAAAATATCTTCAACAATCCGTTACTAATAGATTACAGTTTGGCTTAACATTACATCATATGCAATAAACTATTGGGGCGCGTCGACAATATCATGGAAAATTGTTGATTCATCGCACCTTTCAGAAACCCACTCAAAATAGAGTTTGCTACTAAAGAGCATTTGCCTTTGATTCCATCTGTAGCAGTTTGCGATCTGAAGTAGCACGACACATCTGCAGACCTCCATTATGGCAGAATTCCTTCAGAGCGGATTTATGAGACAAAAGTGGAACGGAAACAGGAGTTCAAAACATTCAGTCTAAAGTACTGTAAAATTTTCCCCATCCTATTTGCCATCAGATTTTTTAAAACTCATTTTCCTTAATTAGCTGAAAAACATTCTGAGACAACACAATATGGTGTCAAAGTCCCAATAGAAAAGTAGAGCTTTGGCGCCATTTTGGGATCAAGTGACAATGAAGTGAGGGGAGAAGTTACTATGAGACTGGGAATTATAAACCTTTTTTAATGCAACATCACTTACCCATGGTTTTTCGTAATTGGTGGTAGGGCTTCGTTTATATTTCCTGTAGTGACCTAACCGAAGTTGGGAAATAGCTAGCAGCGTTAGTGTTACTCATCTCTGCATTCCCTCAACGGTGTACGCATTTGATGGATGTGGCTCGATCAACAGTTCTCAGCTGGTTTGTTAGGGACAATACAAAAACTACAACAAAAAACACAAATGAAGACATATGTACATCAAAGCTTGGACTACTGTTCAAAATCATCTTATTTTGAAAGGCTAGCACTGGGGTCGTGATGCCCTGACGTGTACCCCAAGTTTGATGAAGGGTACCGAACATTGGCATGTTTTTTTTTTTTTTTACGTACAGTGAGAACTAAAAAAAGGGACCAAAAAAAAAAACTATCCTCTGAAATATATATTTTTGCATGTTTAATTTGCAGTTTTCGTCTATTTCATACATGCCATTGTCATGCTAATGCAGACATCCATCCATCCATCTTTTGTATATCGCTTGTAATTTGAGTGGAGGGTGAGCTTTTCTTCAAATTTTTCTCCTTGAATAGTTTCAAGTGACAAAATTCTGACAGCTGATTTTTTCCCCCAATTCTGATTTATTCAATACAATGTATCTGCATGATGCTATTCTAATACCCAATGATGTAGTGACCGTTTAACTTTTTGAAAATGACATGACCAGAAACACCAGATTTATTGATATTTTAGATGAGTTACTCAAGTGTCTTGATGTCTTGATTGATTGAAGTGGTAAAACAATATATTTGGAGCAAGGAATGTAAACCGAGGCGATGTGGCAGAAAACTCATCCCAATATAAATTGATTACCTTCACAGTAATGGAAGTATTAAAATGTTACAATGGGAATCCCGTACTTCTGGTCTTTCAAGCAAAGCTAAATTGATAAAAAGTAAAACAAGAGAATGTAATTTTGAGACCATTGTGTGGCTCTCAAAAGTCAAAAGCTAAACTCTGCCCTCTACTGCTCAAACAAAGAAATAACATTGCTAATATCTAAAATATTCAACATACTACATATTAATATACTTTTACCCTTAGAGGCCAGTCCAGTTGTCTTGACATATGTGACAAATTATTGATTCAATTCCAATTTTCAGACTGCGCTGTGTGTCTGTTATCAACTCTCTCTTGTCTAGACACAATTTGCTGTTCATTGTTGGTGATTCGCCGCTCTAACGTCAGCCAGACTTCAGGGAAAAGTGAACGGTAGTACTCAAGCACACAGTGTTCTGGGACGACATTTAACGACAGCTTAGTGGTTCAACATTGCTTCTCAGTCTTTGAGTCTCAGGTTACGACTTAGAAGTCCTTGTAAAGCAAAAAAAAAAAGATCTGTTCTAAATTTGACACACTGGAGAGAGCAACCATGCCAAATTCAAAGGGAAAATAATCATAATATAGATGCACGGTTGAGAAATGGATCCTATCCCCCCTGGCATCTTTCTAATGTCTCACATCCCTCCAGGTTTGAGCTGCAAAAAATATAACCTCTTAAATCCACTGGTGGTTGGTTCAGACAGGTGCTAGCCACCGGCTCATTAGCAAGCTAACAGGCTAACGGGCTTCCACATCTCCTCCACCTCACTTGAGCATTTCACTTACAATATTGAGCTGTTCTGTAAACGGTGGCGTCCATAAAGATGCTTTTTTTCGGGGTGGAGGCTTAGTTAGCTAGTTAACTTTTTTTCTTCGCCCCCAATTTTGCTGCTGTAGACTGCAAATTTCCCCAGTGTGGGACAAATAAAGGTTATTTTATCTTATCACTGAATGCTGGGGGGTAGAAATTGGCTTGGTAATAACTTGTAAGGATGCCGGATAACCACTGGTGCTAACCAGGGCACCAAGTTCTTATTCAGTGGAGGTGAGGCAGGGGGCTCTAGACGGATAACCAAGCGCGTCACTGGCCGCTATTTTAATTAACCACGGCCAAAAATCGAAAAAGCTGAACGAGTGTCGAAGTTTCACACTACGTGTACAGTAATCCCTCGTTTATCGCGGTTAATGGGGAACAAAACCACCCGTAATAAACGAAAATCCGCGAAGTAGCGTCCAATTAACATAAACAGGTAAAAAATATATATATATTTTAAGTCCGCAAACAGTCCGCGAGAAGCTGCTAAACAACAGCGAGTCACATAGAGCAACATATACAGTACTGTACTCCATGTACATTAAAAAAACAAAAAAAAAACTTTTTTTTAATATGTTTGAAAAAATCCTCGATGCACTGAACACGCGATAAACGAACCGCGAAGTAGCGAGGGATCACTGTATCTTCACAATTCAGGGCCGAATAGCGTACTGATAAGTGGTCGAGAGAATCAATGGACGGATGGACAGTTTGTCGTCTTTGCATGTTTCCAGCAATTATCTTTAAATGTGTATAATGCATTGAGAAAACAAATCTCTGATTTCACTTTGCAGGATCTTTAACGACCCATTAAGCTCTACATTTTATTTCTTTGTATAAACACTCGACTAACTTCTCGCGCCCCTCCGTGTTGAAAACAACTGTCGAAGTTCTAAAAGTATTTCATACGTCAGGCCGGACTCTGATGTGCCACATCGCAATGCCTGACTTTCTGTGGAAAAAGCGACACAGTTGCAGCGATATCCCGATTTGCTAGGCTGTGTGTTTAAACTAAAGGCGATCATGTGGTGCCGCTCAGATCTACCGTATGTGGAGAAAACACTTCCTGAATCATTTTATGCAATCAAAATGAATTTCAAAAGTATATGTAGGGTCACGCTCACATTAGGCAATGTGTTTCAGGTAACGCCGACAACAGTCAAATTTCAATCCCGACTTGCACTGTGCACAGTGGCGCCGTCATGCTCGAAACCGTCCCACGAATATACCATTATATCAATCAAGGCCCGAATGGCCTTGATTGGTATGATTGGAGGGAATCACAGGGGTCTCCATCCAACTGATGATTGTTTTTACTGCGTGATTTCACAAAGGAACTCAGCGCTCAGTTCCAAACACAAGTTCGTACATCACTGAAAGAAGGTCCCTAAGTTCCGTGTGTGTGTTTGCAAAACAAGATGCGACTAAATTCTGCTGACATCTTGACATAATATGGCAGTTGAACAGTCACCGCCCTCGAACCTCGTATCGTGAGTGAAGCCAGCAAAAAAATTAGTGCGTGTATGGCAGCAGTATAGCGAGGCTAAGTAGCAGCCAAGTGTTCAACTGCACTGATCCTGAGCAAGGTCTGGAAAATCTTGGAGGCCTTTAGCCGCATCTCTCAACATCTGCTTGTGAGCGTGAGTCCTGCGGTGTCTGCTCAGGCAGTGGCTCCAGGAAAAGCTACGTCCGCACGGCAGGCACAGGTACGGCCTCTCTCCAGTGTGCACCCGCTGGTGCAGGTTCAGCGACTTGTAGCGGGTGAAAGTGGCCCCGCATTCGTTGCAGTCATACTTCTCCGACCTGACGTGGACGTTCTTCTCGTGCTCTTTCATGTTGCCCAGCTGCGAAAAGCCTTTGCCGCAAATGGGACAAACGTGGGGCTTCTCCCCCGAGTGAATCAGCAAGTGAATGTTTAAATCCTGACGGGAGTAAAATCCTTTGCCGCAAGTCAAGCAGACGTACGGCCGCTCCCCCGTGTGGCTCCTCATGTGTCTCTTCAGACTCTCGGATCGGGCGAAGGTGCTGTCGCATTCGCTGCACTGAAACGGTTTCTCCCCGGTGTGCGAGCGCTGGTGCCGACCGAGTTCCGAGGCCTTGAAGAAGGACATGTCGCAGTCGGGGCAGTGGTGAGGCTTCTCCGGATTATCCTGGTGTATCTTCTCGTGAGCTTTGCAGTGACCCATCTCGGCGAATCCCTTGCCGCAGAAGGAGCAGGTGAAAGGTCTCTCGCCGGTGTGCATTCGCTCATGGCGAATGAGCCTGTAAAGTTTATCGAACGTTTTGGCGCAGAAGGAGCACTGGTGGGGAACCTTCGGTTTCCTGGCGTGGATGCGTCGATGCCGCTCTAACCTGGAAGGCTTACTGAACACTTTCCCGCAATCGGGGCACGGGTGCTCCTTTGTCCGGTTGTGATTATCTTGGTGTCGTAACATCTTCTCCTCTTCTGTGAAAGTCTTCTCGCAATGCATGCACTGATAGCGAGTCTTTAAGGTCCTTGGCCTTGTGTGTACAGTCGCGTGCCTGGTTAGCTTGGAAAGCCTGTCAAATATTTTGTTGCAAACGGTGCAAGGGTGGCCCGTGCGTGGCTTTTTCTTGGGATTTTTGTCATCCTCTGGCTCAGAGTCATCGTCGGGATCAGATTCGACGATGTACTCAATGTCGAAGGCTTTGGCACCTGGTGACCAAGGACATCAAAGTATTTGAATTGCAATCACAAGTGTAAGTCATTGACAGTCCTCCGCAAAAGTAAGGGAATGTCAAGTTCAATTCTTTTGTTTTGTGTTGTAGTGCATACTGAAGATATTTGGGTTTCAAACCCAAAAAATTGAACATGTGAGAAAAGTTCAGAATTCCAGCTTTTATTTCATGGTTTTCACATCGAGAGGTGGACAAAGCACTTTTTCGAGCCCATGGGCACTGTTGTGGCAATTTCAAAAATAAAAAGAGGTGTCAAGACTTACTTTCGTCCGAGGAGTGATCTGTCACAGATGAATTGTCTTCCTCCATGGCTAGAGCCTTACAAAACAACAGCACACACTGGATTGATATTTTGTTTTCTCAATTAAGAAAAATGTATCGTTTTCACTGAATCCATTGTAATATCGTTATTGAGATATCTGGCAAAAACAGAGATTTTACATTTTAGCCTTATCGCGGAGCCCTACTGATTGAAGAACCTCACCACATCACCTGACTGTCATGTGCAAGATTTCTATCATTCTTATGTACATCGTTGCCTCACAATGCTGTGTGGAGTTTTCATGTTTTCCCCGTGCCTGCATGGGTTTTCGCCAGGTACTCCGGTTTCCTCTCACATTCCAAAAACATGCATGGCAGGTTAACTGAACAGTGTGAGTGTGAATGGTTGTTTGTCTATGTGTGCCCTGCGATTGGCTGACAACCAGCTAGGGGGTGTACCCCGCCTACTGCTGGAAGACGGCTGGGATAGGCTCCAACACGCCCGCGACCCTCGTGAGGATAAGAGGATTAGAGAATGGCTGCATGGATGGATGGATGGATGGACGTACAGACGGACGGATTATTCTTCCTGTTTCTGTGTTTAGCTCGAATTCCATTGTCCCTTTTTTTTAAAAAATAAACGGATATATCATTCAGAAAAGTGTTTGGAATATTTCATATCGCTAGTATCGTCTTTCAAAGATCTACCCGAGAAGGCTAGCTAGTCTTATACAACAGACTGGTTGGAAATCACTTAAAATCAATTGATCGCCGCCTTATTGATTACATGGCGGCCATTCCATATTTAATAAATTAGAAAAGCACACAACGATGCTCGTTTAATGGTACGGCCATCAAATGACGACATTCGAGGTGTTTTACGGTGAACCTTACCGTCAAGAGTTGAACGTATTTTGGCGACTTAAAGCTTAACTGCCAACACGATAGCAAAAACAATTGTGAAGCAGCGTTTATGAAACCACTTCGAACCAATCTCAGCACGTACGCAATGCACCCTAACACATTTTAAAACCCAAAGCGTGTGTTTTGGAATTAAGACTTGACGCTAGGCTGCCTCCTCGTATGGTAATGAAGGGTAGGGTGTGAGCAGAGTTTGTCCTTTTGTATTTAAAAAAAAACGCTCGGCAACGTAAGGGAGCAATGTTGTTAGCATTAGCTGCGTTCAAACGAATAAACGAACACACAAACATCACTAACGCTACATCGTTAAGATCACAGCGACCAAAACAAAAGAACACTTACCTCTGGATCGATGCGACAATACAAAGGTTACCACATTTTAAACCGGGCCTTAGCTAAAGTGAAATAGGCCGACGCTGCCGTTGCTCAACTTCTTCTTCTTCGTTTTGATTACCGGCACGTTTAGCTCATTGCTGCCCCCATACGTTCAGCGATGAATACAAATCGTCGTGCACTTTTTTTCCAAAACAAACTTTATTGAAAACAAAAAATTGAAGCAAAACATATCATATTTTTTTTTTATTCATACGCATAATTAGGGCCGAGCAGTGACTACTGCGGGGTCCTTATTGTTTTCTATATACCACTACTACTAATAATAATATTAATAATAATAATAATAATAATAATAATAGGGCGGAACGTCGGCCTCACAGTGCAGAGGTGAAGGGTTCGATTTCGGCTCGGGCCTTCTTGTATAGAGTTTGTATGTTCTCACTGTGCCTGCATGGTTTTTCTCCATGTCCTCCAGTTTCCTCCCACATTCCAAAAACATGGATGGAAGGTTAATGGAACACTCGAAATTGTGCCGAAGTGTGATTATGAGTGTGGATGGTTGTTCGTCTATGTGTGCCCTGCGATTGGCTGGCTACCAGTTCAGGGTGTACCCCGCCTACTGCCCAAAGATAGCTGGGATGTGCTCCAGCACACCCGCGACCCCTGTGAGGATAAGATTAGAAAATAGATGGATGGTGGATGGATAATAATAATAATACAGTAATAATAAGATATTTTGCACTGTTAATCACATTTTCTATTCTATTTAAAATTCCTCATGGAAAACTACAAATAAATGGCTCTGTAAACAGTGGAAAAATGAAATTCAATCCCGGTACATTTGACCTAGGTCACGGATGGGCAACTGGAGACCACACTCACTGCCACATTCGAAACTGTGGATTCCAATGTTTGTCCACATACAGCAGCTGACCAGCTGACCGCATCACCTCAGCCTATTGTGTGTGGGTTTGCACGTCCCCAAAGGGCATGTGTTTAGATATTATAAAGGTACAGTAAAATCAGTTTAAGCAGTATTCTACAGTATATATATATATATATATAAAAAAAAACTGTAAAACCAAAGGCAATGTGGATGACACTATAGAACTATATATTTTGCTGGGAGGGAAAAGGCTGAGAAAAGCAAATCGAGTTCTGGATTCCCCACACTTCCATTGACTGGATCTTGAAATGTCTTTTGCAAAGCGGCGGGCTCTTGAATGTGTCACAGGGCTCTGTGTAGCCTGCCTCGAGGTTTTGTTGAAAGCAGAGCGCGTGGCCTCCGTTCCCACCTGAAAAAAGGCAGAACGAAGTTGACACCTTGTGCGTAATGTACGTCATTGTAATGAGACTGGAATGTCGGTCCTGAGTTATTTGTACAGTGACAATTTTATGTTCGTGCATTTAGCACCTGGTTTAACAATCTGTACATACACACTATACGTTACATCCAAAAAGGCATCTCCTTTTTTGCAGATATTAAGAAGGACATGCCAACCTTCCCCAGATTGCTATTGAATCTATTAAATTTTCTTTTCATTCACCAAGGAGAATAGTTGGCCAGTTTAGATGTCTTACTGAAAAAAAAATATAAACCTTATTGAAGGCAAGACAGTGGATATTTGTCATTGGCTAAGTCAATGGCCAAACCTCAACCCAATAGAGCATGCAGCAGAATATTGTGCCCCTGTTTGGTCCTGGTCATCCCACATGACACCACAGGCAAACCTGGCATAACATAACCATGGGAATCATAACGGGACAATTTGCTCAATGAATGGTGTTTGCTTCCTGTCTTATGAAACATTCCTCCTCCATTCAGCTGCCTGTCAGCATCTATGATGCATCTATATGACCGCACAGTATGCGAATGACCTACCAATAATGAAACGTTCATCACTGCCGGCAATGAACTTGGAAGCCTCTTGTTCCTTGGATCTTTTCGGCTCCTTGGCAGTAAACTGTTCCTGTGAGGGGGCAGTGAAGGGGATGGTCAAGTAGCTGGGATCTTGCGGCGTTCCAGCCGGACATGTCAGAGTTGTGTTGGAGGCAGTCTGGAAGCTGAACTGAGCCTGCTGAGGGGAGACTTTCCTGGTCATGATGTTGACCATGGCTCGTTGGTAGCGCTCCATGCTGGGACGAAGCTGAAAGAGCAATCATATTTCTTGACATTGGTGGCCATTCCGATACACTTGCCATGCAAAGCAGGATGGCTCACCGTGAAAACAAAACATTCGCATGTTCCAAAAAATGTGGCTTTATCTGTGTCGTACTTGTGCCGCTCTGCCATATCTGATGAAATAAAGGCACCAAAAACCTATGAAATAGAAAACAACTTAATTCAAGGCAAAATATGTCTTCTCCATACTGTGTACATGCCCAGTAGCTGTAGTCAGGCTTGAAATATTACGTACCTCTTCATCCACTGTTTTGATGATCAACACTGCAGGTTCGTGGCCCTCCACGTGATAATAGAATCTTCATGAAAGAAATTGGTCAATATGAATGATCAAATATCCCATAAAAGAATAAACAAAAAGACCCACATTGGTGCTCGTGCTAAAGTAGGGAGCTCAACCAAATTTTGTATTGCTCACTAGCCTTTTCGGGGAGGGCGATTTTTTGTTTTATTATTGTCATTGTTCTACAAAACATTTGTAGGTTTTGTCATGGAGAAAATTTGGCAAGCTGTACAGCGATGAGGCGCGGAGACTGTTGACATTAGTCCGCAGTCCATTAGCCAATCAAGATGTAGAACACAATGCGATGAAAAAAAATAAAAATAAATTTAAAAAAGCGCCAAAAAAATCCGGGAAATAGCAAAGTCGTGATGGATGAAACATGTTATAGTGAGGGGGTACTGTATTACATGTCCTCATTTGGGCTACAGGTGAGCTGGAGCCTGTCTTAGCTGACTTTGGGTGAGAAGCAGTGTAAACCCTGAACTGGATGCTAATCACTCATTATCCATTGAAAGTTCAAAAGGAATTTGAGTGAACAGCTCCTAAATTCCACATGCTTGCAATGGACTAAAGTGTCGACTTACGAGGCGAGACTTTCTCCATGTTCTGTTGTACTGAACAGCTTAATGGGACTGAAAAGGGCAAAGCGTTCCGGTATCCAGGCCCAGACCACTCTCATCTCTGTTCCTGTCACAACACTGGAGCTAAGGTTGTTAAAGTCCACTGTATCCACCGACTGCCTATAGGATGAAAATACCCGTGGGGAGACCGTGACATTGAGGAACCACTATATTCAAAGTACATCGTAATATGTAGTTATAATATGGTAAAAACATTTTTTGATGACCAGTAACTATTTTCTCGTACATGAAATGCAAAATTGTTCTCGCTGCCTCACCTCTTCTGGTGGATGCTGACCCCTTTTTGCATGAGGGAGACCTTGTTAGCTTTGAAGAGGAGGTTGAGTTCTCTCCTCGTGGCAATCGGAACCAGGAAGGCTCTTTCCAAAAGATTCTCAGCCGTGCAGTGGCGAGCCACATTCTGCACAAACCTTTTCATGTCTGTACGGAAATCTTCCACATCTGCAACTCTGGATGACACGGACACTTTGTAGAGGCTCAGCAAAGCCAATGCCACCCTACGAATGATATAGATATGTGATTTTGTTGTTTTTCTAAGCTTTTGAGGGGGTATAAATGCAGAAAAAAAAATTACTGCAAACCTGTAAAGAACCTTGTAGCCCTCTAGGAGATAGACATCCAGCACTCTAATGGCATACGTGAATGGAAGATCAGCAAAGATCCACATGATCCAGTCGGAGTAAAACTCAAAAAGGTTCTGGTGTGAGCTGGCTATCAATTTCCGGATGCCCCGGCAACACCTGTTTGCAAGGTCTCCAAAGGTCATGCACGAGGCTCGGTATGTGAGGAAGGTCTGGTCAATGTAACGCTTATTTGGGTCGTTGTAGCAAATCAGTCTGGAAACGCTGTAGAAACATTCTGCTTCGTCCTGGCTGAAATGTAAAATGAGCGACACCAAAGCTGGGAGGATGGGGCAAAAGTTCATTTCTGGGAAGTACTTCCCCAGACAGAGAAGAATCTTCTTCACGGAATTTACACCCGCCTTATTGAGGCAGTGCCTATGAAAAGATCAACGATCACAATGATCATTTTCAATACAATGTCATCACTGGAAATATGTTTCGTGAATTGTCAAAACATTGAAAAATGTAGTGCCAGCCTCAGGTATATATAGAATGCAATAAATGTAGTCGACTTGTACCTTGGTATTTCTCCTGCTTCCATGTACTCTGGAACTGGGTGGGTGCTGAGCTTTTGTTCTCCAAAGAGCTTCCTGCTGAGCTCGTAATACATGTCTCTTTCTGGACTGACGCACCTACAGCATAGTGAACAGTACCCACTATCAGTTTGGGTTCTGTAATTGAAACTTGCACTGTTAAGTATAATGACATGGAGCTGTGTCTTCTTCTTCTCCTTTCGGCACGTCCCTATTCAGGGGTCGCCACAGCGAGTCAGTAATTTCCATCCCCCCCTGTAAACCGTCCTACCAACTCGCATGGTCGTCTTGGCAAAAGTTTTACGCCGGATGCCATTCCTGACGCAACCCTCCCCATTTCTCCGGGCTTGGGACCGGCACTGGGGAACAGTGCACCCCCAGGGGAGGGCACTGCCCCCCAGCGGCTGGGTCGACATGGAGCTGTGTATTATTTCAAAATAATACACCTCAAGGGCTACGCGGCCCGGTAGGCGAGTGGTTAGCGCCTCGACCTCACAGTGCAGAGGTCATGGGTTTGATCCCGCTCTGGCCTTCCTGTGTGGAGTTTGCATGTTCTCCCCATACCTGCGTGGGTTTTTTCCGGGTACTCCGGTTTCCCCCCACATTCCAAAAAACATGCATTGAAGGCTGATTGAACACTCCAAATTGTCCCTAGGTGTGAGTGTGAGTGCAGTTGGTTGTTCGTCACTGTGTGCCCTGCGATTGGCTGGCAACCGGTTCAGGGTGTCCCCCGCCTACTGCCCGAAGACGGGCTCCAGCACCCCCCGCGCCCACAATCTCTGTTGGGTCCTTGACCATGGTAAAAGCTAATTCGTATGTCTTACTTCGTATGTCGATTTAGTATGTTTTGTAGTCATTTTTACAATATATTTGGATGGTATCTGCGCATTGCCACAACACATCAGTCAGAGCTTACAGTACTTCCCACTTCCGCAGCAGCGTCTCTTAGCTTTCCTGTCTTGACCTGAGTCGTGCTAACCTGGAATGGATGCCGTGGATGATGTGATAGTAAGCCTTTGCCCTCAGTGTATGAGGCGTAGCCCAGAATCCTTCTCTTCCCATGGCTTTCAGCCGCTGGTGCTCGCTCTCCAGTATCTTCTGGTACCGTTCTGAAGCTTCTGGATCGATCTTCTCCCAGTCCACGAACTGGCCGTATTTCATGCCAGAGCTGGAGCAGATCTCCCAGTTGTCCGATTCAGAGATGGTGATCATGGACACACACTTAAGATTGCCTCTGCTGCCTAAACACATGTGTGCAGCATTTCATGAGGGTTGTGAAACTCTGCAGTAACATACAAAATGCACTTACCATTTTGGTCTCTTGACAGTGAGTGCTTGTTCACTTTGGATTTGGACTTTTCATTTTTGTTCACAGGATGCTGGGGTGGAGTGGTCAATTTTTGTATCAGTGGAATGGACATGCATAGATGCCCCAAATCATTGTCGGACTCATGTTCTGATGTTTCATAACTGTAAAAAGACCTGGAAAGCATGATCACGCATTAGCTAATCCATCGTGTTTTTAGGGTCATTGCTGGAAGCTCTCCAGCCAATGTGGACTACACCCTAGTTTGGTCATCCCTCTATAGTTTGAGGTCAGCCGCGCAAATAAATCAGCAATTGTCATATCATGACCATTCAGTTGACTCGAGAATAGAACTCCTACCTTGAACGAGGTCTTTGATAGATCTCTTTAGTCTGTGTCTGTATTCCATAGGTCTTGCAGTCCTCGGGGTTGTAATAAGAGTGAGATCTCTGCCTGCTTCTGCCTCCCGTCATTGTGCTCAGGTCGGATTTGACACTTCCACAGCTGAAAATATCCAGCAATCTCGAGATATGAATCAAGTCTTCCCAGAAATTCAATGTGATGGGTGGGATGTGCTGCACGTTCGTGGATGCAGGACCTTATATGAGCCTGCATGTGGGGGAGCATAGGGGCGAGGCTTGTTTGTAGTGACTTAATGCTTTGGGCCGGAAAGGTTCCACTTACGTTTCTGCTTTAAATCTGTCAATATCAAGTTTCTTCTTCTCAGAGGAAGGGATTCAGAAATAAAGACAGAAACCACAGTGTTAATATTATCTTGACTGAAATGCAAATTATATCCATATAAATAACATTAACATTTTGGAATACTCTTGTAATACTTACATCAGCGGACCCGAGTCCTCTCCAAGAAACGATTTACAGATGTTGCAAAATGTGGTTCTGTAACTAATTTTGACGAATTTGCATACAGTACATTCGCATCCATATGTAAACCATTTTGTTTTGTATTTGACAAACCTGTGTTTAACCTACTTAAACGTGTCCAAAATAAGGTCATTTGGAATTGTTGGCAGGTACTGCTCCTTCCCTGAACTTGTGCTGAATCAAAATGCCAACTTGGACTATTCCGAGAAATCTTCAAAAAGTTATTATTCAACACAACAGGTGTGTGTTTTGATCTAAACACAACCACTGTTTGGCTATGACACATTCAACCTCTACGAGTGCTTATCTCACATGTGGGCTCCTACACTGATGGTGAAAAACAAATTATCTAACAGCACAGGTGAATATTTTTTTGCATTCACATATAATTTTACTGGCAGCAGATTCTATAGATAAAATACGTATCATATTTATGTTAAATGGTGATAACATTTTATAGGTGCAAGAGCGCTGAAGCTATCTTAAAATGGAATAATCTTAACGTTTTAATTTGCATATCACTCTGATTTGACTTTAAAAGCCCAATCCCAAATCTTAACAATCTTATTTTTCTAGTTTATATAACCAATTAACTACAAAACATACCAGATATAACCATAGCCATTGCTGCAAAATTTTAGAAAATGTCACTTGAATTCTTAAAAACATTAATATATAAAAATGCATGTACCCAGACTGTACTGTCGTTTTGCCACTGCATTCCCCAGAGTTCATGTGAAAGTGTGGTATTATTGCATTAGCATGTTAATGAACACGATGGATTTCTGCATATACAGATTGAAACAAATCACGAGAGACGGAGAACAGCAGCACAGCATTGGGTAATCCCAAATTGTGAGAACATAAGCAAAATTTTAAATTAGCACACATTTCTTTTGAACTTTTGAAGACAGCAGGGAAGATTTAAATATGAATTTAGCAATATATTAGCAATATGCTTCTTTTTTTAGGTTTTCATATCGATGACAGCTTCGTCACTTTTTTGGAGTTTGAAATACCGCACACATGATGCTAACTCGAAATTTGTCCCTCATCGAGCATTGTGATGACGTCACACCCAAACAGGAAACATTTCACTACCGGGTGATTCCAGCAGTCTGGATTTCCATCTCAAAACCCGTGTTTCACCCCAAAAATGTCTCAGGATACCTGGTAAACAATGACTTAATTTCTTGATTTATCAAATTTTCAGGAATCGTTTAAATTCTGTGACGTCGTTAAGATTTACCTAGCTCGTTTTTGTTGGCTTCCCAAGCGGAGTATACACATTCCAACTTGATGTATGTTGTATGTTAATTCATATCTTACACGGTTTGCTGTTTAAACTCGGTACAGGAAAGTAAAGGAAGGTAAGATGATTGTCAGTTGGCCAAATTCTATCCTGAGTCCGTTCGTTTATGCATTAGTAAACCACCTGCTTTTAATCTCCATTCATTTAAAACACAATTGAGGTATTTAATGGTCCAACTCAGACGTTTATGTTGTCTTCCTTGTTCTGTAGGTTGCAGAATTACGATGCCACTTGTCGGCTGGCACAAGAAATTGCTGAAAACATCCATGAACGCAACAGAGAGCAAAAAACAGGGGGCAACCCAGCGAAGGTGATTAAATGTTAAATGTTTACATTGTCAACTACGATACTGCAGTTTTCGATTTCTCCCATGTCATCTCCTTTTTCGTTTGTATTTAGATAAACATGACACTTCGGGCATCTCTTCAGAAGCTTAAACAAAGTATTGCCCAGCTTAAAGACAGTTTGCTGAGGGCTTCTTCGTCACGTCGCATGTATCCTTTCCCAAATAGAAGTCATGAGACAAGCGGACTGGCTGCGGAGTTTGAAGTAACATCAGTTGGGCAGTAGAGGGCAGCAGATTGCTTTGAAAATGTTGTCAAAAGTGTCTGCAATGTCACATCCAAGGCCCCAATTACGCTTTAATGCCTGTATCGGATTTTTTTACACCGTTTACTTCCAGAAAAAAATTCAAGTGACACATTAATATTTTTGTGTTTACATTGACCGAACCCAACAAACAAGACAACAGCAGTTACCTTTTGGTAATTCAGTGGTCCTTCCAATATCTCTGAAATACATAAAAAGACATTGCAAACACCTTATAGACAACACAGCTTAAATCCAAAAAAGTTTGCGCGTGTAAACGCGAAAGTATTAACAGGAAAATCCAAAAATGTTTCTTAATTTGACGTCAACAGAATGCAGTCAGAAGCAGACAGGCGGCAGAATCTCATTGATGACCTGCTGACCAGGGAGAAACAGCTCAATGCCACTTTTAAAGGCGATATCACAGAACCAGCTCCATTCAGGTATATAATGCAGTTTTTTTAAAAATGACTATTAAGCTACCTAGTAAAGTTTTGATTCAGTCAAACAAGGACACTAATTGAGTATATGTTTGTATGTATGTATCTATATAGCTATTTTTTTTCTTTACTGTAAGGCTACATACGACATCTCAACTACAGATTATGTTTTTCTTTCACCACGTATGCCTACCTGCAAGCCTTTTTTAGATTAACTTTGAGTGTCCGTCACTCATCATGGATTTGGGTTATTAAAAAAAATGAATACAGTATTTCTTCACTGGATTGGTCCAACTAATGACTGAGAATGTACTGTCACCAGATTTAAATAACACTGCTAGGTGACTGGCATTGTCTTCACTAGGATCTCAAGGGAAATCAAGTAAAAAAAAAATTACCACAATATATTCTGTGTGACCCCACTTGTCTCCACATTTTGATTAATATTGCATTGGAATAAGAAGAAAGCAGCAAAATACTCTCATTTTTATCCATCTCGAGGCAAGGCCCTTTGGCCACCTGCTGTTGACTGAAAATGACATCACAGTGCCCAAGGCTTAGGCACTGTGAGGCTCATTTTCAGTCGAGAGCAAGGAGCAAAATGGCCGCCCCTTGTGATGGCTAAAAACAGGTGGGTTTTGCTGCTTAATCTATACTCCACAAATGCAATATTAATCAGACTTCCACTTGACTTTAAGTTAGGCCAACTCTTCCGCATCACAGTTTTGAGGTTTAGGGTTCATACGTTGGCTACGGCCTTCCTTCGCGGAGTTAGCTAAATCTCCCTGTGCTTGCATGTTTTTTATCTCTTGACTTCCTCCCACATTCTGAAAACAAGGCTGCTAAATTCAATGAATACTCTAAATTGCAACTGGCTGGTTGTTCAAGGGACATCCCACCTCTCACCCTAAATCAGGTGGGGATTAGGCTCCAGATCACCTCTGACCAATTTACAGGTCAATTCAAAGTGAATGATTTATAGTCCTTAGTACAATATGTACAATTTCTTAAATATCAGTGACATGATTTGCTTGCATCAGTCCAAAACCTTCTCGGTGTACACAGATAAAATTGTTGGCACCCCTATGTTCATGAAAGAAAAACCCACAGTGATCACAGAAATAGCTTGAATCTGACAAAATGAAGAATAAATAAAATAGTTTTGAATTGTGATTCAACAGAATTACAGTATTTAAAAAAATCTTGAAACATAGTTTGTATTTTTGAAAGTTTTTATTTCATAACACACACTGTTTCTTTTCATCACTGAGTCAAAAACAAACATCTGTCCATGAAGCTTCTTGGGCGGGGGGCAACCTGTTGGAAGGCCCCATTTTGTGCTTGAAAAAAAAAATTGAGGTTGGGCGTCCAATTAAAAATAATGAATCCTCATTCTCTTGCCCATGTCCTTGACCAGAGGGGTCAAAGGCTCTGAGCTGGCCTTTGATGATGTTGTCACTGGTCACTAACTTTCTGCAAGTCTGTGCACAGCGTGAACTCGGGTTTGACCCGTGTCTCAGCACCCCTCACTATGCTATCATTTGGAAGAAAATCTGTCTGCTTGCCATTAATTCAGTTCAGAAAATTGATTTTCTGTCATTTCACTATTGGTCACATATTCCGCGCTCAGAAATTGACACGAGCTGAATATGTAAATGTGAATTGGTCTTGATGAATGATTTTTCATTGCTCATTTCCACTCATAACTTTGTTGAGGCATGGCTTTACACAGATCTGATTGGCTGAATGGGATCAGCAGATATTTTGTATTTTAAGCAAAATCGAGTTGCTGGCGGTTGTCATGTCATAATTTGTCGATTGATCCTTGATCTCTTGGAGTGATTGCATTTTGGCCCAGTGGTAATTCGGCAGAACGTACAATCCGGGCCTGTTTACATACGTTAGGCATCATCAGAGCATTTCAAGGCTTCAAATCTTCAACAACACTTTAGTTCACTGCATGCAAACAATTTCCAAAGGGGACTAAACTTTGCAAGTGCTAGTTGCTCACTTTGAAATTGTCAGGAAGAAAACTTTTTGAAGCACTTGTACCAACTTGCTTGGAATAAGTTGTTGTATGCTTGTGTGTTGTGGCTCTTTGCAGTAACACAGTTAAAAAAAAAAAAAAACTGTAGCTCTGCTTGGCCACCCCTGGTGTAACGCCAAATGACCTCGCACTATCTAGGTGATATTTGTTTACAGGAAGAGGAAATGATCTCATGTGGGTCACTTCCTCTTGGCCTTTGTGTGTGTTTGTAAGTTGTAATTTGTCATTGCCTTCCTTTCACTCAAGCGTACACAAAAAACATCGTTACAGCGCTATTTGTATGATAATAGCAGTCAATAATATTAATGATAATCACACAATATTGGTTTCCTTTAGTGAGAGTCACTCCTCGTAAAGCTTGGGAAAAAAATTACATTCTGCGATGCTGGTGCACATCAAGTTCATCAAAATTAGAATAATTTGATAGAAATTAATGCAAAAGGAATGAATCTGACCCAAGACTCATAAACCCTTGGTATTGTAACCAACCGGCTGTATACAGTAAGAACAACTTTTTTAACGGTCAGGCAAGTGTCAAAACAGTTTACTCACAGTTAAGGGTGATATGCCCAACAACTGTAGTCATACTTGTTTTAGTTTAAATGCTCTTGGCAGGATGATAGAGACCATGCGCTGTATTTAATAAATGCAAATTGTTGAATGTATAAGGTCACACTCTCGTTGTGAAGTGGCTTCCTGCCTGCTACAACACAGATTGCCCACTCAGGACATCAAATACTGGTAGTCTGAAACCTGGATTTGAATTTCTCTGAAATCTCTCAAGGTTTGATTTTGGCATTGTGTTACTTAGCAATGCTTGGCGCTGACTTATCTTTTTTACAGACCACACACCCAATCATTTAAAAGGACTTTGCGGGGGAAAAAAAAACACTCGCTAATAAGTGTCCTCTTATCATGTGGTTATGCGCTTTTCAGTTTGCTCAGTGAGATTGAATTTTTAACGTGATATATGGTGGGGTCATTGGAATTTGTGGCAAGAACCCAATCCCACTGTGTGGTCTTTGAGAACAGAACATGGGGTGGGGGTAGGAGGGGGTGATCGCCACGCTTGGCTAATCTAAGACAGTTTCTCTCCGGAGATTTTGAGGTGTTAGCCTATTAGGCAACTTGATGGGAAGGGCGGGGGGGGGAGGGGGGGGGGGGGGGGGGGTTGCTGAGGTGTCTTTAATCCATCTCTGAGACAATACAATCAGGGCATCTCCATTTCAGACTGAGCAAAAGAAGGATGTGGCGCCTACATTTGAAGTCTCGCTTCACCCCTTGGCCCCAAGGAGCCACCTTTCCGCAATTATTCACTCACCTTTTCTTTGTGCTTGATTGCACTGGAAATAATCGGAATTAGTGAAGTCTCTGCTTTCCAAATCACTCATTTAGGTGGTGGGCTCTCAGGTCTTAGTGCTGGCAGTCTCTTCCTCTCCCTAGATGTGCCTGACTGGCTTTTGAGCTCCCCGCTGACTGGCTAATTGGATTTTCACACTCTGGGCACTTGCAGGGAAGGAGTGGCGGGCCTGCACACACAATCTCATAGTAATCAAACATGTCAGAGAGGTTAGACGCAATACCTCATCGACTGGGTTACTGACCACATCAGAAGCAGCTTGAAATAATCATCGCATTAAGGAATGTGATAAACGTCATGTGTGGCCCACGACCAATTTCAAAAATTATAAAACCATCCGTTTTCTCATAATATTTCCTCGCCCGTCGATTGGCGTGCATGTGGCTCGCCGGCTTCACCAGCTGGCGGCTTGATCTGAGCAAACTGGGCTGGAGTCGGCCTCACACGGTGACCTGTCACCACAAGACTTCCAGCGACAGCTTTAAGCAATCAGCGGAGGAATAGCTTTCAAACCACAATGCGGTACAGCACACTGCTCTCTGGGCTGTCGCTGTGTTGCCGAGCATTCCGCGGTCCTGTGACAGATTAACATGCGCCCAAAGGCTGCACCAACCAACCTGCTATTATTTTATTAATTTTTTTGACAGCCAAATGAATAAATAGATGCTGTCATGATTTTTGTGATCGATAGCTGGATGCACCCCCCCCCTTTTTTTTTTTCAACAGGAACAAGCACTTTATTGAGAACATAAATGTACCTTGTGCTTATGTGGATTCTGTGGGGACTATGAAGATATGCCTCGACTGGACATTTGGTTTCTATTAGAGATGCACCAATACCTTATCCTACAGATATTACATGTTTGCACAGTACTCGGTACTAAAAATGATCCCACATGACCAGCCTGACACTTCGGAAAGGAGCCGTGTCAGCCCTGTGGAGATAGGTGACCAGGCTGCGACATTAACAGTGGCCCGATGGCCCAGGGCCACAATGTAATGTGTATCGGGCCTCCAAAGTTAATTGATGCTGGACCGACCGGGGCACCAGTACAAATTACATCAATAGTTGAAAACATGTTCTTTCTTCTCTTTATGATATAGTTGATCAATCATCTGTCCTTTTTTTTGCCCCCGCTGTGCCCATCCGATCTCCTCATTTGTTGACGAATAGTGTGTGGTACTCCTGTGAATTTTGGCCACGGAGTCTGCACTTTGCGCTATTTCATCCAAAGGCAGGCTTACATGTGTAATTATACATTTTTGTTCAGTATTGTTTCAAATCCCAGTACCTACAGTATATATTTGGGTGTGGAGCGTGTGGACATTTTATGAAGCGGCTGCCTTGATCCTCGTATTTGCATGCATTTTGGCCACTGAGACTACATGCTTCACTCTTTCGTCCCCAGGTATGCCTACATATATATGATGAATTTGGTTAAGTACAGTTTTAAATCAGGGCAGGTACCGGTTATAGCATGGCCACCACAACTTGGTCACCACCCAAAAAGGCTTAATGTCAGACCCTGGGAACTGAAAATAAGTCTCTTCAAAATGGATAATCAACTCCGTGCGGGCGGCAGCCACGCTCCTGTCACAAAGCCGTTCGAAAAGCACCAAGTTTCAACGTGCTGCTCGGCTCCAGCATTGTGTGTTGGAGTAATGAGGTCAAACACAACACATGGAGGTGTCAGATGTCATAGTACCAGTCATAACATCACGTTATTTTCTTTCCTGAGTTAAAAAAAAAAGAAGCTGTCTGTATCTAATAAAACACAAGCCACGAAGCAAGAAAATACCTTCAGGTAAATTTCCACAAATGTGAAAATATCGTACATGCTAACAACCTAGCATAGAAAATAAGCAACCAAACACAAACATAAAAATCACTGTCTTGTTGGTATCACTATCTTAAAGGTCCACCTTGATGGCAGGAGGCGCAGGAGCAAACGACGGAGTCTCAGTCAACCCGTGGCTCATTAATGAATCAGAAGAAACCAGGGGGTTGACTTTTGGAGAGATTAAACAGCAGCAGCAACGAATCATAGAAGGTAAACTCAGGTCATGTGACAATCATCTTTCAGGTGTCCCGCATCACACGTCGCTCACGTTTGAATTTGTCCGCCTCGCACCAATACAGGCTTTAACCACCATGGGACCCATATGGAACCACTCTCGTCACTGCAACACAAATACAGTACAGGGCTATTTCCAGTAAGAGATAGTAAAACACACAGTTAAGTGAGCACGGCGAGGTGAATTAATAGATCAAAATATGACACATGAAAAAGGTTGGCTTTACTCTATATTGGCCATCTGTATGCGTGCATGCCAACACATGAAAGGTGGGCATGACTACCCACATCAAGAAGATATGCTATAAAACCCATCGCCTGTTTTCTCCCTTTTCCCCACATGGCTTGGACATGCCTTGAACAGCCACACGCCAGATCACCAAGAACCCTCCATGTGACACTTCATTGCAATGCCTCCACTATGGCTCTGGTTAATTTCAATTTGGGATTCATTTTACGACAGTGAAACCCAAAGATCTTAGAGGTATCCAGTGCCTTGAGGGGTTTATGGTGGAGCTAAAAGCGTGCTCATAAAGAAAAAGAAAAAGAAAAAAAATCCTGTGATAGACAGTGCATTAAACTTGGTGATCAGAAGGCGGGCCAAGTCTTTTCTATTCTTCTCAGCCGTCATTGTTTTCCAGCCCACCTCGGACTGCTACAGTGGTAATAGTTTAAATGAGGCTGATAAATGACTCGCATGTGAAACTCGGGGCTGATCTGTACCACACTTCCCGTCCCCCATGAAGGCAATTTCATCATGTATTTATTGTTCACCATCCCACCTGCTTCCCCGGCTCCAGTTTAAATCCGCCTTCTTCTTTGTGGTTTCAGTCCAGGATGCAGGACTAGATGCCCTCGCAGCAGTCATTAGCCGGCAGAAGATAATGGGACAGGAGATTGGCAATGAGCTGGATGAACAGAACGGTAAAGTTGCATCATTATAATCTTCAAAATTCGACACAAATACAGAGCTGTGGTTCCGTGTTTGCATACACATGCGTCACTGCTCCTTTTTGAGTTCTGTGAATGGCTCCCATTATAAATGGACCGTGAAATGGATTCCTAACTGCCATTCTGTTTGGGGATGATCATTAACGTGACCGCTGAGCAATTAGCTTCTTAATTTGTGGTTCTCTGAGGACTCTATGTGTTGCGAACACAGATGGACGTAATCATCTATAAATCGACCGTTACGAATTTGGTCGATTGTGTGGAATTGATTATTGATCAATCATTTTGACACAATTGAGACAAAGTGGAGTGCGGTGCTTGGCTGTGGCGGCGCTGTTGGTTTACTCTCCAGTTTGGTTTCTGAAGAACGACATCTTGTAAGCATGAGGCATGGGCTGATATTAGATTCTGACAGTACGATAACTGTGAGAAAAAAATAACGTGGTATCGTGGTATTAAAATGGCGGCTCTAAAATGACCTTTTTGATATGTTTGGGAAAATAAAAACATTTTTCCCCATTGAATAGTCTATTTTAAAACAAAATATATAATATTTAGCACAGAAGAAATGTGTCCCATATTAAGTTTAAATGAATAAATAAATGTTCACCTTCTTCTTCTGCTTTAATTCTTAGTAATTCACTGTCCTATCACTCGTGAGCTATTTGTAGAACAGACCCGTGGGCTACTCATGTTGTCCTTGGGGCTAACTTGTACCGGCTGGCACTTTTTCTATTTTTGTATCTGTATTTTTGATGACAATGCACATTAATCAGAGCAAAAAGGACATCTGTGTTTGTCAGTACCTTGTCTTGCTCCCTCCCTCCTCCTCCACTATGTGCTGAGAAGGAGAAAAAAAAAAAAACTTAAATGCAGGCAGTTACAGGTGGCTTATTTACTCAACTCTGCAAGCAACCAATCATATTGTGGCCCTCTTAGTCCCCTCAAAAAAAGGAAAGAAGAGCTCATTACCGGTGATTGAAACCTCGACTTTTTCAACCCTCGGTAAACCATCATACCGGTAATGCCGAGTCAGCATTGTGCAGTTGAACGACATACACGATTCACAGACCTCTACTAAGATACAACTCCAGGAAGATTATTCTACTCAACGCGACATTTGGAATGGAAGCCCGGATGTCAGGGCATTCAGAGGTCCTGCCGTTGGACAGCATATTTTCAAAAGCATAGACCTGACATTGCAATAGAGAGATCTGAAGCCGTGCCAAAACCAAAGCCCTTTTTTTATGGCTTGTAATTTCCATGATTGATTAGCTTTGCCTAAGCTCATGTACCCACAGTTGTCTTAATAAAAGCACTCATCATCCCTCACCGACTCGCTTCCAGTGAGGAAAGAGAAGGCGTCAAACTATCGTGTTAATATCTCATCCAAGCACTCAAACAGAGGCCGAATAGCTGAAATGACTTCAGCAGGGAAACTATCAACCTTCCCCTCTTGCTGGGAAAGAATGGCAGATGTTTGGCGCATTTTATCCGACAGTGACGGGCTAGCGAGGAGAGTGAGAAACGAGAGATGATTGTTTTACCCTGCTCTCCTTTTTCGTTGCCTTCGGTGACTCCAACTGGCGCGTTTTCCCTTCTCATTTTTTCAGCTTGATGTCAGTGTTTCCAATTATACGAGCCCAAATTGTGGGAGAGCGGTCTTACATCCATTCTAGAGCAAGAATGCGCGAAGGCTAATTATTTTGGCCGCAGAAACAATGGCTCGTCACCGGCTCCGAGTAATGGAGGCCACATTACCCCTTGAATATAAATTGATGGCGTGAAAGTTATTATTTCTCTGAAGATCAAAAACATGTGCCACCTGCAAGGATTTTAAACACTTCCATCAGTAAAAGCCCAAAGGCTGAACATTTGAAAGCCCTGGTACCTTCCCGTTTCCCGCTTGTATCATACCCAATAAAAAATGTGAAAGTAATCCAAAGTACCACATTTTCCAAACTATAAGGCGCTTTGGCGTACAAGGCGCACCTTCATTGAACGGCCTATTTTAAAATTGTTTTTACATATAAGGCACACTGCATTATAAGGCGCATAGAATAGAAGCTCCAGTTGCATTATGCAACCACTAGATGGAGCTACGCTAAAGGGAATACAATACAACATAATACAGCTTTATTAATGTAGAGCTTTCACAACTGCTGCAGCTGTAACAAAGAGCTTTACAAAACATTTAAAATAATACGTTCAAGAAATTCGAAATATTAATCCATATATAAGTCGCATCGGATTATAAGGCGCACTGTCGGCTTTTGAGAAAATGTGTTTAGGTGCGCCTTATAGTCTGGAAAATACGGTGGTAGTTTGTCGTCTCTGCGACAAGCCTTTTTAAACTCCTCATGACTTTAGCATCAGGTCAGTTTTTGTTCAAGCCAGACAAATGATTGACATTTTAAATTCGATTTGTGTTTTTAAATCATGTTTCTGGAGAATGTCACGACAAGGCTCTCTCACATTTTGGACTGCTTCACTGCAAAGTTTTTTGGTGAATCAAATGCGGTATTGGAGATGCGTTAATTGCCAGTGACAATCCTTGACTGTTATTCCAAATCTCCATTTACATTCAGCTAACATTTGGACAGTGTTGTGTCTGGCTTTCCTTCAGCACGATGAACTGAGATGTTTTTAGATGGGCGCTTCACTTTACTAGCAGCTTGCAACCTCACGGTGAAAATTTCACAAGCGTGAACACAATAACATTTGAAAGATAAGTCATGGACACGACCCTAGCAAATGCTTCGTTTTTGCCTTCGGTTCATATTTCCAAAGTCTAAAGATTATCAACTTTTTTCCATCAGGACCCACCAAGAGTATTTGAGCTTGCATCATTGACGATGTTTTTTTTTAATTGTATTTTTTTTTAATATGGATGAGACTCAGGCGTGTCCAAACTTTTTTTTCTTGGAGCCTCAGAGAAAAAAATCCAAATCCACTTTGAAATTCTTGATCCCTAATTTGTTAAACACACGAAATCTATGAATCAAGCAATGTGATATTGAATAGATTTTTTGAGAAACTGCGATGTCACAGCTTTCTGTCTAAAGTCTGATAGTTGAGCATTTCTCAAGAATTTTGGAGCAGAAAGTGTGCCGTTAACCATATTTGCTTTGAAAAATGAATTATCTTTTTCTGAAAAGAAATTTGGTGAGTATTTTAGTTGTCTTTTGTTTGCCTCTTTGCATATCTAAAAAGATCTGCAATGCATAAAACCACTTTATGACGTAGATGTCGCAACACCACCCCTCCCCTAACCCATTTTCAACATCGACATTTCTCATGCTCCCCAACTCCACCTTTTACTATTTTTTTTAAACATGCATCACTGTCTAATGTTCTTTTATCATATGCCACAGGATGCTGAAAAATGGACGGCAGGCCACAAATGGCCCCCCAGGCCATAGTTTGGGCAGCACTGGACTAAAAGAATCCATATCTTGTGTTTATCAATAACTACACACACTCTGTATGGAAATATCATCACCTTGCTGATTGATTTTGACACTTTTGTGGCAGCCCCACCGTAACATCTAATAAATGTCAAAACGGACTTTCAAACTCGAGTTTAATTTGACCGAAAAGGCAAATAAAAAGTAATTGGAGAAAAGACTCCCCAAGTTGATCTTGCTATTTGGCACATCGAACTTTCTTCCCTGCTTCTGTTCCTCCATGATCACTGTACTGTGAATGCAGTGTTTTTCTATAAATAGATTAAGCGCTTTGTAGTCTTCTTCTGGAGTCCAGCCCATGACCCAAGTGCAGTGAAGGTTGCAGCCATTTCCTTTTGGAGAAATATTTCCGGCTCAGGTCAATAAGGAAGCTGACACTTTTTGAGAGGTTCTGAGATGAACTCTGAGACCCCAACTTAGTGCCTAGACTCCAAAAATAAAGTCATGATGAATTGCATTTTATTCATTCATTCATTCATTTTCCGATCCACTTTATCCTCACAAGGGTCGCGGGGGGTGCTGGAGCCTATCCCAGCTGTCTTCGGGCAGTAGGCAGGCGACGCCCTGAACCGGTTGCCAGCCAATCGCAGGGCACACAGAGACGAACACCCATCCGTGCTCATACTCACACCTAGGGACAATTTAGAGTGTTCCATTAACCTGCCATGCATGGTTTGGGAATGTGGGAGGAAACCGGAGCACCCGGAGAAAACCCAAACAGGCGTGGAGGACATTTTATTTGTATTGTTATTTAGTTTGATTCCATGAATAACAACAGCAACAAAAAAAAAAAATCAGTCTTTGTCACTTGTAGGGCCAATGTGACTTGTATGTTGGCCCATCCAATCAGCATCTTTCCTGAGATGATGACGTGGTTCCGCCACTTCTTGAGTAACCTTGGGCAAACGTCGCCAACATTTACTGCAACCGTGGGCGGATTACCGTGTTACAGCCGCTGGAGAAAAACGAACACGTTCTTAAATCCACCGCATATCATAACCAGAAGAAAGTTTTGTCTTGTCAGAAAGCTCACTTTTTTTTAGGAGTCTACTCAAGAGTTTATTTTGGTGGCAGAATTGACAGAAAAGCATCAAAGATTGATTTACTGTTTGTTTGACTCACCAGGCTGGCCGTAGTGAGTCGTGTTTTCCAGACTATGAAAACGCAGAGACCCACGCGGTGATGTTCAAAAGAGTGTTGTCATTAGAGGGACGTCAAACTTGGAGTGCGCCGTGAAAAAGAAAAAAAAAAAAACGAACCTCGTCTTTCTTGTGTGGCCATTGGATTGGCTGACTGCGTGACTTCATGAATTATTGAAGCCGTTAAATGTGTTGAGGGGATAATGTTGGACACCCGCACATTGGTATTTGTTGGTTTTCATAAGTGAAGGCCAACTATAAGTTTAAAATAAATCTTGTGTAGCCCTGTTTAGTGGAGTATTGCTGTGATCCCGGGTTCTTTTATTTGGTTTATATTATTTCAGTTGAAATAGACAGACTGGGTTTT